ATAAAGGATGCTCATTTCAGCAGAGCAAGATTAGTCCTGGCCCAGTGACCTGTCAGCATAGTTTGGACTAATTAAGAAACTGGGTGAGCTGGATTCTGAAGGTGACATCTTGATGCTGGAACTCAATTACGTGTGGGGAGACAGAAAAAGAAGAGGGTTCAGAGCAGCAGTTATGTAATTGGCTCAACTAAGTTAAGAGCAGTGCTAGGATTAGAATGTGGGTGTCCTAGTTTCATGCTTTTACCTTTGTCTTACAGCAAAGACAAAATATCCAGCTGAAATAACCATGCTGTAGAAAGGCATGATTGATTTTTTTCAGGCTATAATATTCAAGATATATCTAGATCCACGCAAGTTTCTGAGACCCTGGAGATATTTGCAAATAGAAAGGTCTTGCTGGGACAAGACCTATTTGATATTTTAGGGCAGAGACACACATTTTCCACTCAGGCTGCACAGTAGAGTCAACTAGAGTGCTATTAAAACTATGAATGTGGGACTTCCCTGGTAGTGCAGTGGCTAAGACTCTGTATTCCCAATGCAGGGGGCTTGGGTTCGATTCCTGGTCAGGGAACTAGATCCCACATGCTACATCTAAACATGCCACATGCCACAATTAAGAGTTTGCATGCTGCAACTGAAGATTCCATTTGCTCCAACTAAAAGAACACTCATGTTGCAACAAAGATCAAAGATCAAAGATCCCATGTGCCACAACTAGGACCCAGTGCAGAGAAATAAAAAAACAAAACAAAACAAAACTATTAATGATGCCAGAGGAATCCCTCTCAGAAAATTCAGACTGCATTGATCTGGGATGGAACTCAAAGAATTAATGCATGCAGCATCCAATAACTATTTGTACAGTTGTCTCCTGACTGTAAAGAAAAATAAAAAAGGGGGGTGCACATTCTAGGTAAAGGTAATTCCTGAACCTGCCATTGATTAATGTGTGACCTCACTTAATCTCTTTGCTTCGATTTTCTTTTCTAGAAAACACATGTCTTTACTCCTTATAGGATTACTATGTGGATCCAAAGATAATGCAATGTAAACTAAAGATTATAAACCCCCTAAGGAACTCTACAGACACTGTTATAAGGTCCTTGAGTCTGATGCTGTGTGAATGAGATCTAAGTTCAATGGAGATGCATTCTGTATAAAAGCATTCAAAGATGACAATTATATTAATAGCTAGTTTCTCTAAAACTCATAACAGTGAAAATAATCTCAGAATCACGTGCTCTCGGAAGGCATACTTTCTCTAGCAATAATGTAGTAAGAAGTGTCCATGTGTAAAATGCTGCTTCTTCATGTGAATACTCAAGAAAAAGCCAGTCCTTTCTTAGTTGTTCATTTCCCTTCACAACAAGGACAAAACTGGAGGAAAGCCTGAGGTGATCATATTTTATTTTAAATTCTTTTAAATATGAACTTGATAGAAGAGATGTTCTGCCCTTCTGCTTGGGTTTGATGTGGAAATCAAAGTACTCCACCTCAGCAGGGTGAACCTTGGCTGGTTTTGCAGAAAAGGGATCACAGTGGGTGGATCTTCAATCTGGTGCTGCCTCAGAGTCCACTGGAACAATGGTTCTGAGGGACCCTGCCCCAGGCTTATGGAATCAGAATATCCTTGGGAAAGGGCTGGTCACCTGTGGCTCTCATGTGCTGCCCTGATGATGCTTCCGCTTCCTGCAATCCCGGGACAGAAGTGAGGAGTGTGGGGGGGTCACAGACATAGCTCAGGGATTCTCAAACTTCAATGTGCATGTAAAAACTTGGAGATTTTGTTAAAATGTGACTTTGGAGACAACAGGCCCTGTGTGGGTCCCAACACTGCCTTTTTAACAAACTTCCAGGTAAGGAAGATACTTCTGGCCCATGGACCACATTTTGAGGAGCAAGGATCTTGGTGACATATAAAAGGAAGGTGGAAACAAAAACCTCCCTTGGTGAACGGCTCATGGGGATTTCACCTGTGAATAATCTGGTAATTCTAGTATGCTAGGAGGAAGAATCTCAAAGCACCTCATTTCTGTTCCTATTTAATGAGCAGTTGGTTAAAGATCATGAATTCCTGCTGTCAAATGATCCGGGAGTTGATGGAAAGCAAGGTGAAAATTTTGAATCTCCTAAAACTCTATTTCTAATGTGAAGAAGCATCACAGACAACCTCATCATCCACAGCAATTTCTATTTTTTTTGGTGTTTGGGTTAAGATTTAATAGGACTGTCTATGCAATGACATCACATCTGAATTTGTACCTATTAACCAAGAGATGACAAAGATGCTATGCATGGTGATTGGCAGAGCACTGAAAATACCTGCTGACTGAATAGGTTTTCAAAGTAGATTAATTGCTGCTCATTTCTTTGGTACCCTAAGAAGGTCTGACACTGCACAGCTTTTGAAATAGGACACAGAACATCCTTTACAATGGATTTCATGCCATTACCCAGTATCCCGCTGATATAATAAAAGGCTGACTCATTTCCTTTCCTCTGCATGATCTGTTACAATAGAAACTGGGATGCCATATGCTGGGTTTAAAATGCTCAGTATGGCCAGCGGCTCTTGGTGATGCTGCCAGCTTTAAGGTGATCACAGCCTAGAGAAGCACTGAGAGAGTCACTGCTGGACAGTTTGCATTGGGGGGGTTTTGAGTAATTGGGGAGATTTCACCAGATAATCACTGACTCCACTGCCTCAAACTGATGGGTGTCTGTGATGGTCTCATACAACCTTCAAGACCCACTTGGTTGTTGTCTCGCAAATTCCCTTGCCTTGCCTGCTTTGCCCACAGTATTACTGAGCTCACAGTTTCTAACAGAGCCCATAATGAGAATATTTATTTCCTTGTCTTTCACCATCAAGACTGTCAGGAATGTCAGCATAGCTCAAGAAACTGGATTTCAGAGCTGCTGACTGCTGCCAGCAGAGACAAGCAAATTTCAATGAATGTCTACAGAAATTTTTAATATATTTCTCAGTGGGAAGGGGAAAGTATTCAGGTGCCTCACTGCGGAGAAGCACAGCAGCACTTGTTTTTTTTTGCTTTTCTTGGGGTTTTCGTTTTCGGGGGGGTTGTTGGGTTTTTTTTTTTTCCTCAATATGCTATATGATTAATTTTCAGAGTTGCTGCCATGTTGTGAAAGCTTAACGCTGTGAAGGTAGCCTGCAGAAGAAATTAGCAAAGTCTTCCATTCTTATTTTGATCAGATTTCGTACTAAGAGAGCTGTTAGTGTGAGTGAACATCACTTTAAATATATGTCCAGTTAACTCTTTTCCTCATATAAAGGGCAGGATTCCAGCAATGCAAATATAGTTGATAGACATATTTAGTCTTTATTTAGCTATTATTATGTAGTGATAGAACTAAAAAGGATCTGAGAGATTTCTTTTAATCTCTTCATTTAGAGATTAATGAGTGCTGCATAGATAATTTGAACATAATAGTCCAATATGACTACTACATCAGTCTAATAATGATGTGAAACAGAGCCAGGACCAGAACTCATGGCCTGTACTCCACATTTAATGGTTCTGATACTAACTTGGGAGGCAAAAGGAAGTCCTAAAGAATAAACCCACTTCTTCAGAACACAAACTCCTGAAATCTAATCTGGATTCTCTGCCGGTTTCCAGAAACCCTAAAAATTCTATACCCTCCATTGAGACTTGGAGGAGTGCCTGCCTCTTCCACCTGCTTTTGTATTCTTCAGGCCTGAAACGCAAGCCTTGCAGCTGTTTCACTATTAAATAATTGTTATTTGCTGCTAAAAATGTTAGCTAGGGCATTAGGCGTGAAGGAAAGTTAAAACTTCAGAAGAGAGGACAAAAATAAAATGATGTTTTCAAATTCTCAGTTTAAAATATTTTCTTTTTCAATCACGAGTAATGCCAAATGGAAAAATAAAGGTAATAACGAGGAGGGCAGATATCAAACTTTACCCAGAAAGACCACAAATGGAGTTCATCAGTCTTGTCAACACAAACTGTCATGGAATCCTAATAAATATCACTATGAAGCTTCCAGAGTACTGAACTCTATGTGCAGTTAGATTCCCCTTTCAGTCATCATTAGTCCTTTTAGTAGACACTGCAAGTTGCCTACACAGCATTTCTCCATATTCTCCCTTATTCAAAATTATGATTATTTTTAGGGCCATCCCACATCTGTATAAAATACTTGAGTTTTCTCTTCTGCCACTGGGGTGATCAATGAAATATACATACAAGTCCTTGGGCAAAGCAAACCTTCCATAATATAAAGGCAATTTACAATGGAGAGACTCCTGACATTTGTCCCGGTCTCTTCTCATTTCTACCTTGGAGCATTGCAAATTCGGTGCCTTAGCCATGCACCCCACCCCCTCCCCCCATAGAAACTTCAGAGAAGAATCAGAGAAAGGGCTTGAGTCCTGGTAGATACTCCTAAGAAGTAGTGCCAACTTTACACTACATAACTTTGGAAGTCTTGTGTATGTGAGGACAACACAAACCTAAGTCCATAGAAGCCAGTGTTAGCCTTGTTTTCAGGGACTTGCAATCAAATGCATTCCTAACTGATCTAGTCATTGTGTGTGCTCACAAAGTCACCCGGCTTTTGTGGTCAAGGGACTTTGGTTCTGGGTCTGATCCTTTCACAGACCCACAATGAGATGAAATGAAGCAAGGCTGTCCTTTAATACAATCAAGTTGGCAGCAATGCTGGCGATTTACCTACGTGGTTTTACCAAGCAACAGGATTCTGATTTTGATTGACTCAGGTGTCTTTCCCCTTGTGCCAGGTAGACATCAGCGGGATGGATCATTTGCACAATCTGATATTTTCTTATCCTAATTGTGGCAGGGACTGCCAACGATGCTTCCTCCACACAGAGGGACTTGGGGAATCTCTACAAATGACACTGTCCCCCAAGCCGATGCTCACAGGAGAACAATCAGCAAGCAAAATAGCAGCCAGTGAAGCGTGCACATGTTGGTGCACCTAGTTACCTCCAGAATGGGCTGGTGGGCCGCAGAGCAGGACCATCCCCTGACCCTGGCGGACAGACACAGTGCTTCTTGTTCTTGGCTTAAAGTTTTCAAGATCTGTTGAGAGAAATAAAAAAAAAGAGGTTTAAAATTTAGCGCATTATGAGAAGGTAGCATTACTTCAAAAAGAAGGTAAGAGTGTTTACAGCACCCAGATCAGGGAAATTCAACTTAAACTTTTTCTGTGTTATTGTCCCATCCACCTAGATTTTATAGATTTTATAGCTAGACTGTAAGGTAGCCACTTGGCATATGTCCTTATTTAGATAAAAAACAGTTAAAATCAAATACAATTTATAAATCCAGTTCCTTAGTCACACTAGCTGCATCTTAAGTGCTCAAGGGCCGTGCACAGCCACTGGTTTCCACATTGGACAGTGGACAGTGTACTTTCAGTACATCAGTGCTGAAAGTTTCACTGGGTAGTACATGTCTGACTGGAGACACCAAGGCTTAACTGGGCTAATGACCTCCCTAGCTTCTATCTGTAATTAAATATATCATAATCAGGAGGCAAATTTGCATTTTCTNACGCTATGAGGAGAACGCTCTGTCCTGTGAGGACTCAAGAGTTTAGTGTGCAGGCCTAAGAGATGACATCTAACTGTGGGAACCCAAGGCTGCTGAACTTGAGGTGTTCAGAGGGCTACCTGGAGGACACACACGTACTTAGTGCAAAACAAAACATGACCACAATTTAAGCTACATTTCTTTACCATCTGACCCACTAGGGAAGCCCTAATTTAAGTTATTTCTCATGTAAGAAAATTCTTTTTATTAGGTGAGGCTAGGACATGATTTTTTTTTTCCTTTTCGTTAAAGGAATGGTTTGAGAAGCCTTCAAAATCAAACTACAGACTTAAAAAAAAACCACTTCATTATGGCATTCATATTATAAACCATTATCTCTAAAAATGGCACTGAATCATCTAAATTATTGCTTCTGCATACAGGTTCTTAAAATAAGTCATCTATGTTTTTTCACAGACGTCTTGTCCAATCTTCAGAGTTGCACGAAAACTTAAGAGCTGATGGGTAACAGAGATCAACTCTTATCCAAGCAAAATCCACCTTGATTCTAACTAGAGGAAAAGCATTAAGAAACGGGAGGGAAAGAAAATAAAAAATATAAATGATGATTTTTTTAAACTGTTCTTGAGAAGTGAAAGTTGCTCAGTTGAGTCCAACTCTTTGCATGGACTCTATATAGTCCATGGAATTCTCTAGGCCAGAATACCGGAGTGGGTAGCCTTTTCCTTCTCCAGAGGATCTTCCCACCCTAGGGATTGAACCCAGATCTCCCACACTGAGGGAGATTCTTTAACAGCTGTGCCACAAGGGAAGCCTTTAAATTGTTTTTATTGAGCTTAAAAGGGACTTCCCTTGTAGCTAAAACTGGATTCCTGTTTCTTCATTTATAGTTTATGAATCCATGAAGTTCCACAGGATTTGGACAGTTAGAAAAATCACATTAATATGGTATTTGAGAAAATATTTAGATAAGATTCTAAGCAATTAACTGAAATAGATTTCAGATGGTAAATACAATGAATGGAAAGATTGCATTTGGACTGATCTGAGTTTGAAAATCACCTCTGCCATGTAGTACGCAAGGTTTAACTTTCTCAGAAATAACAGGAGAGTAAATGTGATTTATTTTAGAATAAAAATGATGGGAAAAGATTAAATGAGTATTAATCATATTTGAAAAGCACAAAGCCTTTCATGCTCCAAGTCTGGGGCTTACTATTTATTTGTTCTGTCCACTTCAGAATATTGTAATCCAGTGTCAAATCATACCTCGATTATTCCATTAAGAAAGGGTTTTGGAACAATCCTGGTAGACCAGTGGTTAAGAATCTGCCTGCCAATGTAGGGGACATGGGTTTGGTTCTTGGTCCAGGAAGATTCCACATGCCACGGATCAACAAAACCTAAACACCACAACTACTGAGCCTGTGCTCCAGAGTCCATACTCCACAACAAGAAGCCACTGCAATGAGAAGCTGATGAAACGCAAGCCCCTGCTCACCGCAACTGGAGAAAGCTAGGGCACAGCAACGAAGACCCAGCACAGCAAAAAGTAAATACTTAATTTTCTAAAACAGGGTTTTGAATAACAAATGCACTCCAGTGAGAGTTGAAGAGGCTACTCAGAGTCCACCATATTTATGCACATGTTTAAGAAAATGCTGCCGTGCTCGCTTCGGCAGCACATATACTAAAATTGGAAAGATACAGAGAAGATTAGCATGGCCCCTGCGCATGGATGACACGCAAATTCGTGAAGCGTTCCATATTAAAAAAAAAAAAAAGAAAATGCTGCCTGTTCATTATTGCTCTGTTCAGTTATAACTATCCATTTAGATCCTAATTGCTAGCAGCATGACAATTTTCCAAATTAAAGAACTGTGTCTGTGAATATGCAGTTTTTTGAAACTTGGACATGGCCAGGCCTTTCCCAGAAATATTTCCATGTATTTTATCTGAGCGTCATTTTATCTACAAATACTTGGTACTAGATAATGATCAGAGCAACAAGCATTCCAGGTTAGTTAGAATACATTATAATGTTCTATCACCATGACTGCAGCACTAATAGCAACGATTGCATCTCCTTGCAAAAATGTATTGAGGTCATAACATGTGCTAAGAACTTTTCACACAGATATCATTTAATTCCATTATAGATTTAATTCCTAATTTGAAGGTGTTATAACTTTAGTTCAGAGAAGTTCAGAACCTTCTTCACACACTGAGAAAGTGGCCAGAAGAATACAAACTCATCTTCCTCTCTCCAAAGCCATTGCTACCAACTACCAGAATCAATCACTTCCAACTTCCTCTCTGACTGAGTGAAGCCAGTGAGAACGAGCATTCAAACTAGTTACCTGATATCCTAGGGACAAAAAAAAGTTCAATGGAATGAATGAATTTTTGCTCCTCAGGGAGTATGTACGAAAATTCACATTTCAATGCACAACGCAATGAGTTGGTACGTTTGATTTCCAATTTCTATTCCTTTGCTTTGCTTGTGGATGAGCACTTGATGAGGGGATTTTAAACATCAGGTGTAAAGGATGAAGTGGAACAGGAGAAAACAATCAGAAACCACTGCATTAAAAAGTAGGATTGCTACATGGTAAAGGAGGTAGCTGTACCATGACACTTGGGTAATAGACCTTTTAGCTCTGCGCCACTAGTTACTAAAGATACGGTTGAATAAATGATGTATACATATGACAAAGAATTAATATCCATGTACCATGGTTTCTGAAAATAAGAATTTTT